CCGGAGCAGACACCTGCTGGGCAGCGAGACACTCGGTGGCCACTGGGCTCGCAGCGGGGGCAGCAGGCACAGGGACTCCTGGCAGACAAGGACCCCTGCCTAGCTGCAGCGCAGACCAGGGCCACGCTGGCCGACGGCAAAGGGGACATCTTGCTGGCCTGCCCCGCTGGCCCCTCGCGCCCCGCTGGACACAGAGGCCACCTTTCCTCGGGGGCAGGGTGTCCCAGCAGCCAGACCCTGCCCTGCCCCGGCCAGCCAGTCTTAGGCGGGTTTTCCATTGCTCTTGTTGTTTGGGGCAACTGTCCACTCCCGCAAGTGTCCGTCCTGTTCGCCTCTTTATTTCAGAAAAGCAGCCGAGAGGGAGCCCATTGGGCAGTGGCCGCCCGGCCCCCTGGTTCTCAAGTCTCCCCCTCATAGCTGGCTGCGGATCCCCTGCTCAGCTGCACCACGACCCCTGGCCCCACCGCCTCCTCGGGGAGTCCTGTCCGGGGATGGTGGGGATGGACGCGGGCAGGTGGGGGGGCGCGGGGATCCCAGGGGCGTCAGACACTGCCCAAAAGTTGCAGTGACGTGGGAAAACAATTACCTTATTAAAAATACACGAGGAGCCCCGTCCAGGAAGCTCCTGCAGTGGGGGGTGGACCCACAGTTCGCCTTCGGGGTCCCTTCTAGGACAAGGCGAGGCGGAGATCCTGGACGTTGGCGCTTTGTCCATCTCGTGCATTCATCACGGGCGGCGTCTGGGCCAGGAACAGGCACCGGGAGAGGCTGCACAGGGGCCTGGGGCATGGGTGGGGCGCGGGGGGGGCCTGTGCCTGCCACCCCTCCCCTCGCACTGTGTCTCCCAGTCTGCATTCCAGGCTCCCGCGGCAGTGACTAGGTCCTCTCCCTCTCCCTGCCTGGTCAGGGCTGCAGCCACCAGGCCGACCGCCCCCCAAGCTCGCCACACCCGGGCCACCGTGGGCTCAGCGTACAGGGACACCCACCAGGCTGGATCCGGGGAGGGCGCCTGAGCCCAGAGTGATTCACTCTCTACTTGGTGGGCGCTCCGCCCCCATGTCCCCCACACCCGCACCCCCACCCCTGCGTGCCCACACCCTGCTGCTGGGGACGCCCCTGGCCCTGCTCTCTGGCCCCCGCCGTGCCCTGTGCCTGCACCAGGAAGCCCCACCCCAGGGCGCTCCTCCATGCCGGGGCTGTGTGGGCGCTGGGCCCCGGGCCCAGGGGCAGGGTGTCCCTGACAGGGCTGAGCACCTGCCTGGCTGCCCGACACGCTGGCCCCGGCCCTGCGCGACGCGCGTCTGCGCCCCTTCAAGTGCCTCTTTGGGCCCGACGCTGCCCAGGAACCCCACAGCCCCAGTGAGTGCGGGTGCGGCTTGCGGCCACGGTGAGGGCCCTTCCCGGGAGCTTGCGCTTGCTGCTCGTTGAAGTGGCGCCGCCCCCGTGGTCTGTCTTCTGCGCGTGGAGAAACGCACTGGCCCTCTGGGCTGGCCTCCTGGCCCGCGGGGCCTGGGCCCTCAGTCTGCGCTGGCCAGCCGCGCCCCACCCGCGCCGGCCTCCCCTCGGGCCTGCTGCGAAGTCTCCTGAGCAGCCGCTGGCCTCGCATCCAGTCCGGTCAACAACCAGGCTTCCCTGGAGCGTCGTGCCCTTGGTTTAGGGTGAACGGGTGGGCGAGCTCAGGCGTCTGCGCCCGGTCCCGCCCCTTCCGCCTTCCCTCCTCCATGTCCTGTCACCGCCATCCCCGCGCGAGCTCCGCGTCTGCGCCCGAGCCGCCTCGGAAGGTGCCCCTCAGGGCCTGCTGTTTCCCGGGTGAGCTGAGCCCTGCCTGCTCCTCCGCGGCCTGGGGTCAGGCGTCCACTCTGAGCCCCGCAGGCGATGGTGTGTGCCCCCCTCCTCACCCCTCGCTCTTCCCCCTGCCCGCTGGTGCCCTCTGCACTCCCGCCCGGCCCTGCCCGAGTTCCACTGTCCAGCGAGCAGCCCCGAGCGACGCGCGCCCGCACCCAGGCCCCCCCCGCTGTGGACTGCTGGACCCAGGCCGTCGCGGCGTCTGGGGCCGTTTCCTGAGGGCGGTCTCACGTGTCCGGGTCGGCCTCTGCGGGCTGCGGGCCGGCCACATGGTCTGGGCCGGGATGGGACACTGCGGGCCGAGCGGCCATGGGGCCTGGCATGGGGCTTGCCATGGGGGCCGGAGAGGGTCCGGGTCGCCTCCGTGGGCTCCCGGTGCCCCGTGCGCCCGGCCCAGAGCTGCAGGGCGCGCCGTGGTTGTTCTGAGCAGCGGCCTTTAGATGATGCCTCCGTCGTCAGGGCCTCCAGCATGCTGGGCGCCATGGAAACCGCGTCGGCTGCCATCCCTGCAGCGCCCTAATTATAGAATTTCAAAGACAAGCAGAGAGCGTGGTACGGGGCGTTGGGAGAATAAGAGAAGCAGCCCACGCTCCAGGAGCTGCCAGGAGCTGCCGCTTCTCCACCGTCGTCCGCCGTGGCTCCCGCCACGTGAGCCACGTGGTGACGAAGGCGCCCCGGCACGCCCCAAGAACGCCCCCAGCCCCGTGGGGCGGACGCGTGGCCAGCTGTTGGGGGGTACACGTGGGTGCAGGTGGGGCCCTGCTGTGCCCCCATGCCCACCACCTGGCTTGTCCTCCGACCCTGTGCCTGCAGGGTCCCCTGTCAGGGCGGGGCTGTGGGGGCCGGCTGGGGCGCCCACCTTCTGAAGACACGTGTCTTCGTGGCTTCGCCTGGGCCCAGGGGCAGGGTGTCCCTGACAGAGGTCCAGGGGCAAAGCCATGAGCCCACGGCCCGGGGGCGAAGGCCCAGCTGGGTGGGAAGGGGCCATTTGGGGCTCAGGATACAGATGGGTGGGGCGGGTGTGCAAGGGAGACTTCTGGCGGGAAGTCCAGCCCCAAAAGTTCTGGGGAGCGGTGGCCACATGGGCGTGGGTTTTTCAAGGAAAGTGATCCCACCTTCAGGTCGGAGGCCATCACCCCCTCTGGGTGGGCCCCTTGCAGGGCCACACAGCACTGGGCACTGCCCCAGCGGGGCGCCCAGGAGGCAGGGGGGGGCCCCCGGGGTGTCAGGGGAGGCCAGGGCCCCCCAGCGGCCTGCAGCTCGGTTCTGAGGTGGCCGCGCTGCCTCCTCTCATCACGCGGGTGACGTCGGCCGCGCATGCGCTGTGAGCCCTCGGAGCCAGGGCCGCCTGGGGTCGGTCCGCCCCGCAGCACCTCCGGGACCCACACTGCTCTCAGATGTGGGGGGGCTCTCTGAGCCAGAGGCCCTGCGCCGGGCGGCCGGGTCTTTGCAGCCCCCCGGGGGAACCGCGTCCTGGGCCAGGGGGCTCTGCTGGTTTCCTGCAGACCTAAGGACAATTCAAGGTGAAGGGGGTGTCCCAAGGGAGGGACTGCTGTCCTCGAGGCGTCCGTGGTGGCCCTGCTTTCCAGGTCGTGGCACGGCCACATGGGACACCCGGGCGCCAAGCCTGGGTAGAGCCCGGGGTCCCGCCCCACAGCCCTTTGGTCTGGCCTGGCAGCTGAGGTGGGGATGGTGCGTTCCCAGAGACGCCACCAGGCACTGCGAAGCCAGGTCCTCCAGCGGCGCAAGGCGGTGGGGCGTCGGGGGTCCAGTGCGGGCCTGGTGGGGGGTGCCCTGAGTGTCAAGCCCAGAGCCCGCTGCTGTCGAAGCCCCTCCTCCTGAGGGCGGCCGCGGCTCTGGTCAGCCGGGGGGGCCCGTGGCGCGGGGCGGCTCGCTCTCCCCACTGCCCCCCAGCCCGCGCGCCTGCCCGGCTCCCCAGAAGGCAGCCAGGCCGTCCGCCAGCTGTCAGGGGCACAGCCTTCCGATTTGGGGCTCGCGGGGCCGGCCCTGGTGTGCAGGTTCGGGGTCAGAAGGTCACCGTCCTGTTCCCCCTTTGGCCAGCGCGTCCCTGTCTCTGTCCTCATTGCCCCGGAGGGTCCACCTCGTCCTGCCTGTGTCCCGCTCAGACGTCCTCCCCGAGCCTCCTCCCCGTGGCAGGACCTGTCCCGGAGTCTCCCCCGGCGCTGGCAGGACCCGCCTGTGCGCCCTCAACTCCTCACGTCCTGACCGCTGTTTGTTGAGGGCACCAAGCTGGGTCCGGCCGGCCGGCGGTCACTCTGGGGGTCTCCTCCTGGCCTGCAGGCGCTGTCCTCTCGCTGCCCCCGGTCCGGCCAGCACGGCCACCCCTTGACCTGGAGTCCTCCTTGGGGGCCTGTCCCCAGGTGCGGCCATGCGGGGGGTCCCTGACCTTCCGCCCCGACAACAGGGAGTGGGATTTTCTCGCTGGGGGTAGTGGGGCGTCGCCCTGCACCCCATCTCAGACCGCGCTCTGTTGGCCCCTGGGGCTCGCAGGGAGGGGGCCCTGGTGAAGCTGTGTGGTGGCGCGGACCCCACTCTTGGCCTTCCCGGGGTGTCTGTGCTGCTTGCCCCACACGGCCTCGGGAGCTGCTCCCACTCCTGCCCCAGGACTCCGGAGGCGGTGGGCGCCGCCAGTCACGTCCGCGGGGTGTTTGGGGGAGCAAAGTTAGAAGCAGCTTTAAGGACCACTCGAAGCAACACCACTGCCCTGGGGGGCCGCAAGGCGGGGCTGGGTTCGGGCCTCGGGGGACGGGAGGGGCGGGGCCCCACCGGTCAGGGCGTGGGGACCACAGGGGCCAGGGGGACGGGCAGTGGGTCGGGGTCCGCAAGGCAGCTCCAGCGTCGACTGCGTGTGGTGAAAGCGTGTTGGGTGACGCAGTTGGCGCCGCGCGGGAGCCCTCGCTCAGGGCTGACAACAGGCTGGGGCAGGGGCCTCCCTCAGCGGCCCGACCTCACCACACGTCCTGCTGCCCAGCAGCCGCGCCAGCCCCCTGCCCAGCCCCACCCCATCTCGGAGGATGCCCCAGCCCCGGGGCCCTGCTCCCCCCCCACCCTGGCGCACCCAGGCCCCCTGCAGGAGGAGGGGCGGGCCAGCTGCCCCCACGAGCTGTGTCTCTGACCTTCCTCGGCTGCTCTAGAGTCCATCTACCGCCGTGGAGCCAGAAGATGGAGGAAGCTGTACCGCGCCAACGGCCATCTCTTCCAAGCCAAGCGTTTTAACAGGGTGAGTATGGCCAGACAGCGCTCCCTGCAGTGGACACACTGGCGGCCCTCCAGGCTGCGGAGGCCCACGGCCTCAGGTCAGGGCCGGGGGGCTGCGTGGAGTGCCCTGGGTCGGATCCTCCAGAGCTCGGCTCCAGGCCCGGCCTGTCCACGCAGCTCACGGGCCGAGCTCCCTGTGGCAGGGTCTTCTGACCCCAAGGCCCCACGGCCTGTGGTCACTGCCCTGCCTGCTGCCTCCCCTGGCCGTTTCCAGACCCTTAGTCCCACTGCGTCCCCCACGATGCCCGTGGGGCCTGCTCCATGCACAGTGGGGCGCCCGGGGCGTGCAGTGCCCAGGGCTGCTGTGACGGAGCCCCACAGACCGGGGGTTCAAAGGGGGAGGGACTTGTGGCCCTGGCAGCTGTGGCAGCCCCTCCTGGCCAGCCACCCAGCCAGATGTGCTGGGCGCAAGGGAGAGGCCGCTTCCCCCTGAAGGCGGGGCGAGGAGAGCTGGCCTTGTAATGGCGGAGCAGGCCGCAGCGGGCTGGACGCCGTGGACATGGGGGGCCACGGGTGGGACGTGCCCGTGGATGTCGCTGTCCTCCGAGGCGGCTGCGACTGGACGCTTGGAGGCACCATCTGCAGGAGGAATGGTCAGGGCCGCGCACAAGGGCAGGTTGCGGGTCAAGTGAGAGGCCCCTACCCCCTGCGTGAAGCCAGGTGAAGGACAGCGGAGGGAGCAGCACACCGAGGCCACAGCCCACACGGCCCTGCCCGGCCCCGCCGGCCCCCGCCCAGCCAGATGCTCCTGGTGTCAGGCACAGCAGACGGTTTCCCCTTCGACCGGGCTCCGCAGCCGACCCCGCATAGCCAGGCCGCGGCCCTTGGGCAGCAGTAGCTGGGCAGGGACTAGGACCAACACCTGAGCGGCCGGGGGCGGGAGCAGGGCCCCAGCGCCTGAACATCGCTCTGCCCCAGCCCCGAGAGTCCCAGCTCGGGTTTTAGGTTTTGTCTCTCAGTGAAACGTTTCCTGAGCCCGTGGCTGCCACGGCCTGCCCTGCTGCTGGACACCGGTGTCCACACCGCATGGCTGCCCCGCTGCCGAGTCCACCCAGCCCCGGTGCTGGCAGCCGGCCTGTCCCCTTCGGCCAGCCGAGACCCTGCGGGCACAAACCTGTTAGAGGCGCGAGGGGCTAAGAGGCAGCGGGAGTCGCGACAGATGCGCTTCCGCGGGGACCGGCGAGGGGGACGGGGTGGGGGGGTGGGCGGGGAGGTGCCTCGGTGGAAGGTGCTGGGGTCACCGCCAGGGGCGGCGGCTCGTCCTGGGATGCCCTCAGCCACATGGTGACCATCACTGGGGTCACCTCATGAGCCGGTGACCGTTTAAAGTTGCTCAGAGGCTGAAAGAAGAAAGAAACCAGCACAGGGGCCGTCCTGGGCTCTCGCTCGGACCCCCGGCTGCTCCCGAGGGCCCCAGGGTGGGGCTCCCCCCCCCCGGAGGTGCCCCACTGCACTGTCTGCACACGGCTGCCTGAGCAGCGAGGGGCCGGCCCGGGTCTCCCCTTGCGCCCCGAGGAGCAGGACCGCACCCCAGGGCCCCGAGCCTGGTGGTGGTGATGGGTGCCCCGACCGCGTCCAGGGGCAGAGTGGGCGCTGCCCAGGGCTCCGAGTGCGTGCGGAGGGCGGGGCCCGGGCCCGCTGCTGACCGCCGTCCCTGCCCCGCAGAGAGCGTCCTGCGGCCAGTGCAGCGAAAGGATATGGGGGCTCGCGCGGCAGGGCTACCGCTGCGTCCACTGCAGGCTGCTGGTGCATAGACGCTGCCTCGTGCTCGTCCCGCCGAGCTGCAGAAGGCATATGGTGAGGCCGGCCGGGCGGGCCGGGCTGGGGAGGGACTACCGCGCCTCACGCCCAGACTCCCCTTTTCACAAAGCGCCTGCGCTCGGGTGTCAGGCCGGCCCGCGCCGGGCAGTGGGCAGAGGGTACGGGGCCGGCGCCCTCGGTGCTGCCCGCGTGTGCCCACGCGCCTGCCCTCCGGCTGCAGGATTCTGTCATGCCTTCCCAAGAGCCTCCCGCGGACGGCAAGGATGACGGCGTGGGCCTCGCCCCTGAGGAGACCGACGGAAGTAGGTGCCGACCCCTCGCCCGTGTGGCCAGGCTGGCCGCCCCGCTGCGGGACAGGACTGCCCGGCGGCCCCATCCCTGGGGCTGTCCCTGTGCCGGCGGCCCAGCACCCCGAGCCCACGCATCCTCCACCACACCCAGAGCCCCTCACGGCCGACGCCGGGTCTCAGGCCGGTCGCGGGAGAGGCACGCATCCCCCGGAGGCATCACGCCTGCCCCCCGGCCCGCCCCGGGGCTCAGAGCGGCAGGTCTGGGGTGTAGGAGTTGCACGTCCTCTGTCCAGCTAGGCCAGCCTGGCCGCTCGGCAGAACCCCCCAGGCGCCTGCAGCCGGCATCTCCTCTCTCCCCAGTTGCCTACATTTCTTCAACCCGGAAACACGACGGCATCAAAGATGACTCTGAGGTGAGTGCCCTGCGCTGGCCGTGCTCTGGGCTGTCGGTGGCGCCCTCTGCCGTGTCGCGGCTTGGCCTGGAGCTTAGGGCTGCCGTGCCCTCGCCCACTGGGTGGGGGGCTGTGCCGGGGCCCATGCAGCCGGTCAGGCCTGGGCAGGGTCCTCTTCCGTCCAGCAGGTGAAAGGGCAGCTCTTGGCCTGTGCGCGGGGCCTGCCGTGGCCTCCGATCCTGAGTGGTTGCCGGTGACGGGCATGGCGGGCCACGAAGCCCCGGCCGCGGGCGCCTCCGCAGGGCACAGCCTTGGTGCAGCCGATGCCCACGTCGGGCCAGTGGGTGCAGGCGGCGGAGTGGGGCCGAGTGCGGGTGGGGCGCCCCGGGCCCTGTGCGCCCCCACCCTGCTCCACCTGCTCTGTGTCCCCCAGGACCTCAAGCCAGTCATTGACGGAATGGACGGGGTCAAGATCTCCCCGGGGCTGGGGCTGCAGGACTTCGACCTGATCAGGGTCATCGGGCGCGGCAGCTACGCCAAGGTGCTCCTGGTGCGGCTGAAGAAGAACGACCAGGTCTACGCCATGAAGGTGGTGAAGAAGGAGCTGGTGCACGACGACGAGGTGGGCGGGGCGCACGGGGTATAGGCGGGCAGCGCGGGCACCGGGCTGCAGTGGACACCGTGGGTTTCGGGCTGCGGTCAGGTCCATGCATGAGCGATGGTCTTAGGGCCAGGAGCGCGCGCCCTGCGCCCCAGAGCTGAGTCGGGGGCCCACCCCCTGGGTCAGGGTGCCACCGCAGCAGGAGCTCGGGCATGGACCTGACTCACAGGCTGGGGCCCTCACCCCCGCAGCCTGTACCTGCTTCTCTGTGAGGCAACACGTGACACAGCCCTGCCCCACGGCATTCACCATGCCGTGCCCGCACCACCTCTACCTGGGCTGGGGCCATCTCCTCCCCTCCGCGTCACTCCCCCCCCTCCCAGCCCCCAGCGGCCACCCACCGGCCTCTGGCTCGGCCTGCTTGTCCAGCCTGGGCACCCCCTCCCGCGCCAGCCTCTCCCTCAGCTCCGAGCCCTCTGCTGGTCCTGTGTGAGCTCCCCGTATCTGTTCTTGGGGTGAAGCAGAGCCAGAGTGTGCGGCCCTACCAGCCCCGAGGACGGCCTGAGGTTGCACTGCCCCTGCACCCAGCAGGCCCAGGAGGGGCGGCAGTGACCTGCCTCACCGCCAACCCTGTTCCTTGGCCTCTAAGTGGGGGTGACAGTACCGGCCTGCCGGGGCGGCCCTAAGACAGGGCCTGGGGGGCCCAGAGACCCGCACGCGGCTGGTGGTGGTGGCTTTGGTGGTGGTGGCGGTGGCGATGCGGCTCCCGCGGGGTTCCCTGCTCCCCGGGGCATCTTCCTGGAAGCAGAGCACGGGCCCCTCGTGCCCGCCCCGGGCGGCGCTCACGCTGCTGCTCCCTCCAGGACGTGGACTGGGTGCAGACGGAGAAGCACGTGTTCGAGCAGGCGTCCAGCAGCCCCTTCCTGGTCGGCCTGCACTCCTGCTTCCAGACGACCAGCCGGTAAGGGGCTCCGCGTCTGCCGGCCCTGACGTGGGCGCAAGGGCCGCGCTGGCCTGAGGGGTGCGCGGGCGGCCGCGGCCCCGGGTGCAGCTTTGGGGCTGGTTTCTCCCGGCTCATCAGCCCGGCAGGGACTTCAGCGGGTCACGCCCACCTGAGGCCCCGGGAGCGCCGGGCCCCGAGGCCCCTGCCCGAGTGGTCGCCCCGAGTGGCGGTACAGACTTCGCGCCCCCTGGGGGTCATATGACCCGGGCCGGGCAGGCAGGCGCCCCCACCCCACTGGGCCCAGAGCCCATGGGATGCTGGCGTGGGGCAGGGCTGGGGCAGCAGGGGTGGGAGGTGCTGAGGGGCCCTAACGCTCCGGACCTGCCGGCCGGCAGGGGTCCAGCCGAGCTGCGGCCTTCTTAGCTGCAGGTCACCCCACATGCCGCCCCCTCCCGGGCTTGGGGCCCTGTCCCTGCCGCACCTGCCCCAGGCCTGGGCTGCTCCCTGACTGCCAACTTGGCCGCCGGCTCCCCATCTTCGTCCAGCCTGGTCCTCTGCAGCTGTCCCCTGGCTCGCCGGCTGCCCCCTCACACCTGCCTGAACCCCAGCACAGCCTCCTGGGGGATCTGTCGGCGGCTCCAGTGCCCTGGCACTGCTGTCCCAGTGGGCTGGTCTGGGGCTGGTCCCGGCTGCCCGGACACTGCTGTGCTGTCCCTCCCTCGCCGCGCCCCCTGTGGCCGCCGGACGGCCCCACCTTGCCAGCCATTGAGCACTGGCCCCGGGAGAGGGCGCGCCCGGCCAGGCTTCCTGAACGGGTTTCTGAGAAGACCCTTGCTTTGATAAACTTCTCGGTTAATTGTACAGTAGCCGTGGAGCAGGGAGCTGCCCGAGGCCCACACCCCCGCGTAACACCTTTCAAAGTGGCGTCTGAAGGTGTGGGAGGCCACACCCGCCGGCCAGCGCCCATGTTCAGACGTGGTCGGTGGACAGGCCGGGCGCCCCTGCCCGTGGCCTTGAGGCGGGGCCGCTGGTGTCTGCGCCGGGCGCTTGTGCCACACCCAGCGTGGGCACCCAGGCTGCAGGCCCCTCCGCGGGCATCTGGGACAGATAGAAAGTGAGCGCGTCGGGCGCCAGGCGGTGCAGGGCAGGGCGACGTCTTGCTGTCGAAGCTGAGGCCCAGCAGAGGGTGCACCTGCCGTGTCCTGGGGTGCGGGGAGCGGGTTCCCTGCGGGTTCCTGTGCGAGGCGTCAAGCGCGGGTGCCCCAGGTCTCAGGACAGGCGATGCCCCCAGAGCCCGGGCACATGAGCCCGATGCCGCACCAGTGCTCCACGCGCACGGGCGGCGGGAGATCCGCGGGGCAGGATGTGGATGGGGCTGGGGAAGGGGAGGTTTCTGCCCCCACACCCGGCAGCAACCCTCCCGGGGCGAGCCCCATGGCAGGGCTCAGCAGTGATCCCCCAGAACCCACTCAGGCGGGGAGAGACCGCGGGGCCGTGAGCACGGAGCAGCCTGCCACGGGAACGAGACTCCCGTCCACACAGGCGGTGCCTCTTCTTCCGGCGACGGCGGGACGCTCAGCGCGAGGGCTGGAAACCGGGAAAGCCTCCCTGGTTGTGGAGGCCAGGCAGCTCCGGGGTGTCGGCCCCCCTTCTGCTCCACCCTGCAGGTCGGGGTGCTGCCCCGCTGTGCTGGAGGAGTCCTGTGGCCACAGCAGGACGTGCTTGTGGGAGCCGCGCCCACCCGCGCACCGGCCTTGAGCTGCAGCGAGACTCTGGAGCTGCAGGGGCAGGGCCAGTGAGTGGGGCCACCCAGGGCTAGGGCTCCAGAGGGACGCTGGCAGGTCAGGAAGGGGCTCCCGAAGCCCTGAGGTGGCGCTCAGGGGTCTGCTGCACCGAGGCCAGTGGCCCCCAGAGGGTGGGGCGCTGAAGGTGTGGGCACCAGACCAGCACTGTGGGGGCCTCAGAGCAGCGGCGAGGCCAGTGTGCGCCCCGACCCAGGAGAGCGGGGTAACCGAGTGCCCCAGAGCTGCTGGGATGCCCCCCTCCGCACACACATGCAAGCGCGCTGGGCAGGCGGGGGCCCTGTGGGGATGTGGGCGCGGGGGGTGGGCAAGAGCAGGCAGGAGAGGGCGAGGCAGCCGTGGGAGGCGCAAGGGCGACGTGGTCAGCGGGGCTGGGCGGGCGAGGCCTGCCCCCCAAGTGCCCGCACCTCCCACCTGCTCCCCGCAAAGGAGGGAGCCGCAGCCAGGGCTGGGGCGACGTGACCTCGGCTGGAGCCCTCGCGCCCCAAGGGGGCTGCTGCGTCCCCCGAGAACGTGAGTCACTGCGCGTGGGAAACACGAGCCGAGTCACGCGCCCGGGAGCAGGCGCGGAGCCGAGCGGGCGCGTGGGCTTGTCCTCAGCCGTTGTTGTCCTGACACGCGGCTGGGCCGGCTCTGCTCGCGTTCCCTGCCCGTTGCCTCAAACGTGAGGAAGCGCCCCGAGCCCAGGCTCCCCGCTCCGGCGCCGGGCAGCGCGAGAGGGCAGCACTCCTCAGCCCACGCGAATGGGGACCCGCCGGCCCTCACTGGGAGGCGTTTCGGGGGCTCGTGCCCGTCAAGTGCGGGCGACTGTCCTGTCCTTGGGAGCTCTGGACAGCGAGGGCCTCCCAGAGCGCCCGGCCTCCTGCCGCGAGCCCTGGCAGGGAGGCCCGCCCAGCCAGCCCGTGCCCTCAGCACAGAGCCCGGCGGCGGCCTCGGGGGCTACTCTGGGGACGTGGCCGCCGCACTGGGCCCCCTGCTCTTGCCAACGACGTGACAAAGAGGCCGCGCAATAACATTAACAGCCTCTGCAGCGCGACCTCGTCCGGGTTTGAAATGAAGGAAGCGGCTCCCCACGCCCGTTTCACCGTGTCCCGCTGCTGGCCTTGGCACTGGGGCGTTGGCATAAAACCGGCGGACGGCGGCGTCTGGTGCCCGGTTGTAAGTCCTCGCGAGGACTTACCGACACCTGGCCAGACAGCCCGCCAGCCCGCGGGGGCGCCCCTCTGACGGCGGTGCGGGGACGGGACACGCCCGGTGTGGCCCCCGCCGCTGTCCAGCTCCACGCGCACAGAACCGCTCCCGGGGGCGGCGGGCCCCCAGCGGGCCGTGGAGGGGACAGCGCGGCCGCGGAAGGTGTCCCCGGACACCCGTGTGGTGGGCGTGGCCGCACCCAGGACAGCATCATCTCCAAAAGCGGGGGGTCAGCGCCTCTGCAGGCAGCGACTGAGTGAGGTCAGGGGAGGAGCCACCTGCGGGGAGCCCCCAGGCCCGCTCCCCCATTCCCCGCACCCGGACGCCCCAGGAGCCGTGACCCAAAACTCCAGGCGCCGCCTCAGCAGGGTGTTTCTGGAAAGCGGGAGTTCGTTTTTGACAGCGGGAGCTTGTTCGAGGGAGACGGCCCTGTGGGCACGCAGGCGCGAGGCCAGCCGTCGGGGCTCTGGACGGGCCGGCGCCCCTTCCGGCCCCCGGGCTGTCCGCAGCCCTTGGCCTCCCGGGAAGCCTGCACAGGTCCACCCCCGCGGCCTCTGGCTGAGCTGGGCCTGTGGCTGCCGCGAGGCTCGAGCTGGCTGCTCAGCGCCCCGAGTCTTACCAGCCAGCGTCTGGCCGCACGGGGCCCGGCCCCGCCCCGAGGCGGGGACCCCGGCCTGACCGGGTGCCGGCCACCGCCTCCCTCCATCCCACGAGCGCCCTCCCCGCAGGCTGTTCCTGGTCATAGAGTACGTGAACGGCGGCGACCTCATGTTCCACATGCAGAGGCAGCGGAAGCTCCCCGAGGAGCACGCCAGGTGGGGGGGCGCGGGGGCGGCTCTCCCGGGAGGCCTGGTCCGCAGGGTCTGGGGCGGGTGGTCGCCTCCTGTCGGCCCCGGAGCATCAGCTGCGGGAGCGGGGGGTCGGGGTGCTCTGCTCAGGGAGGAGCGCCCAGCCCTGGGCCGCCCCGCAGGTGGTCGGCGCCTGCCTCTGCTGCCCAGGGCCCTTTCCTCATTCCCAAGAGGCCAGCATGTGTGGCCGGTCAGCGTGACCCCCTAAACCCAGACATGCGCTCGGTTTTCATTTTCACCTGTGGTGAGACGCAGCGCAAGCCGCCCGCTCTCCGGAGCCCTCCCCCCTGCGGAACTGCCCTGGCGCCCACCCCTCCCGGCTGGAGGTGACGGCCCCGGGGGCATCCCGAGCCTGGCGGGTCCACTGGGCTTCGCAGGGAGCACACATGCGGTCCCTGTCCCCGGCCCACTGCCACCTGGGACAGCTGGGGGTCAAGCCCCGCTCTGCTCGAGTCCCTGCTCCAGTTATTTGGGGTGCACACCCGAGGTGTGGGTGCCTGGCCACAGTGCTGTGTGACCCTCAGGGTCGCCCAGCCTCCGCTCCCCCGCGCCTGTTTGTCCCCGCGGCTGGTCTGGCTGGTCTCGGGCAGCGTCCGTGTCCAGCGCCCGCCCGCAGGCTGGTTGCGTGGGCCTCTGCCGAGACCTCTGTCCCCCGCTGGCCCCCAGGTTCTACGCGGCCGAGATATGCGTCGCTCTCAACTTCTTGCACGAGCGAGGGATCATCTACCGGGACCTGAAGCTGGACAACGTGCTCCTGGACGCGGATGGCCACATCAAGCTGACGGACTACGGCATGTGCAAGGTGAGCGCCCGCCCCGCGGGTGTCCTCTGGCCTGGGGTCCTGGGGGCTCCTCCCTCCCAGCAGATGGCTCTGTCCCCACAGGAAGGCCTGGGTCCCGGTGACACCACCAGCACCTTTTGTGGCACCCCGAACTACATCGCCCCAGAAATCCTGCGAGGGGAGGAATACGGTGAGCCGGGCGGGTTGGGCTTCCCTGCGCCTCTGCTCCTGCGCGGGTGTGGCCCCCCCATGTCCCTGGAGGCTCGCCGCCCAGCATGGGGGCGCAGCACGCGGACAAAGACGCCCCCGCACCCTAGCCGAAGAGCAGGCGGCCCCGGGGCCAGGCGCCGTCTCTGTGGTGTGAGCGGACGGGGTGCTGTGCGCACACGCCGCCCCCGCCCTTGGACGAGGCTGATGCCGCCGCCTTCTTCTGGGGCCTAGCGGGGCGCGGGGTGGAGGGGCCGCGCCTCGAGCCACGGGTGACTGCGCTCCCCAGGGTTCAGCGTGGACTGGTGGGCACTGGGCGTGCTGATGTTCGAGATGATGGCGGGGCGCTCCCCTTTCGACATCATCGCCGACAACCCTGACATGAACACAGAGGACTACCTTTTCCAAGGTGTGTGGCCGCCCTCCCGCGGGAGGGCAGGGCGGGCAGGGCGGGCAGGGCGGGCCGGGCGGCCGGCTGGAGCTCACAGCGCCCGTCCACAGTCATCCTGGAGAAGCCCATCCGCATCCCGCGCTTCCTGTCCGTCAAAGCCTCCCACGTCCTGAAAGGGTTCCTCAACAAGGTGAGTCTGCGCGCAGCCCCCGCGCCCCCGCTGCCCTGGCCAGGCTGCAGCCCACCTGCCGTGACCTCTGACCCTAGGACCCCAAAGAGAGGCTGGGCTGCCGGCCACAGACCGGGTTCTCGGACATCAGGTCGCACGCCTTCTTCCGCAGCGTCGACTGGGACCTGGTAAGGGCCCGCGCACACGCGTGTGCACACCCTGCAGGCACGCGTGCAGCACCCACACGCCAAGCCCTTGGGGTGACGAGCCCCACAATGCAGAACCGGGGCCCGTGGGCGAGGGGCCTGGGAGGCCTTGGCCGCGTCCCTGAGGTTTGCCCCGGAGCAGCCGCGGACTGACTGCGCCAGGCAGGGTGTCGCCTGGGTTTCCTGGGTCGCCCGCCTTGGGGCACGGTCAGTAACCGAGGTCAAGGCTGCGGGCTTTGGCGCCACGGCTTGGGGTCTCGAGGAAAACCAATCCGGCTCTGGTGTGGGGTCGGCACCAAGCTGCTGAGGCAGAAGCCCGGAGTCCGCTCTTTAGAGTAAGAGCGGCAGGACATGCAGGGGGCAGCCAAGGCCCGGGCACCCGCCTCCAGCCCTCCCGGCAGCGAGGCCTCGGCCACTCCCTCACCGGCCAGCTCTCTGGCCCCCATGGCCTGCCTTCTGTGGGACAGCCCTCGCAGGGTGGGACCGTGGGGAGAAGGGTACGGCCTTGCCAGTCCCAGCCGCACAACGTTGGGGACGGCTGCCGAGCATGGGGAGCAGCTGTGGTGTCCACCAGTCCCCGAGCAGCACAGCCCACAGCCTGGCACCCCGCACCTGCGGCCGGTGGCTGCACCCATGCGCCCAGCTGGGGTTCCACTGTGTGCCTGGGCAGCCCCTCGGCGGACACAAGGCGCCTGACACCTGGGCGTGCGTTGGAGGGCCTGGCGCCACGGGTGTGACCACAGTGGGCGCCTCGCCCGGCGTTGCCCAGCTCTCGTGGCTGGCCCCGGCCCTGCGAATCTCCTCCTGGACGCTGAGTTTTGAGGGGGATAAAAACACAAGGGGCATTGGGGGGTTGAGGGGGTCTGAGCACTGCACCCCAACCCCCCGACTGTGCCGTCCTTGCAGCTGGAGAAGAAGCAGGCCCTGCCGCCCTTCCAGCCGCAGATCACCGACGACTACGGGCTGGACAACTTCGACGCGCAGTTCACCAGCGAGCCCGTGCAGCTGACCCCGGACGACGAGTAGGCGGGGGCGGTCCAGCGAGCCGGCGGGGGGGCGGCGGGGCCCGGGGCACCCACACGGGCCTGTGCTTGCAGGGACGTCATCAAGAGGATCGACCAGTCCGAGTTCGAAGGCTTCGAGTACATCAACCCGCTGCTGCTGTCCACCGAGGAGTCCGTGTGAGCGCCTCCCGCGGCCTGGTCTGCGAGCGCCCGAACTCTGCCCCCACCGCGCATGCATGCGGGCGGCGGCGCCGGCGCAGGAGGGACAGGCCGGCGGGCCGGGCGGCAGAGCCGGGCAGCCGCGCGGGCCCTGGCGCCGAGGGCGGGCCGGCAGCCCGTGGAGGGAGGCTGCCAGGACGCGGCCGGGGCCGTCGGCACGGACCTCGCAGGGGCGGTCGGGAATAAACGGCTGGTGTGGCGCTCCCTCTGTCCGACGCTTCCTTGGGAGCCACGCCCCGGGATTTTTACAAACCTGGAACGTTTTCTAAGTCGTGGTAAGTTCCGTTGTCGATATTTCACGCGCGCATTCCCGGCCGCACGAGCGCAGCCGCCGGAGCCCGAGGCGCGGGCAGCGGCCTGGAGGGGCCCGCGGCGCCAGACCCCGCGCCCAGAGAGTTTCACAAAATATATTTCTGAAAACGCTAAGCCCGCCCGCGTGAGCTCGTGTGTTGCGCGCTGCAGTTTCGGGAAATCCTTGCATCAGGATGGCGCCCGCCCCGCCCCGCCCCGATGGCCAGGAGGCGCCCAGCTGAGGCCTCTCGTGCTGGGCCGGGCTGGCCCCTCTGGACACCTGGCCCAGACCTCCCTGTGCGTGACGGCGACGCGGCCCCGGGACAGGCGTGTGCAACCGGCCATGCTCACTCGGGACCTCAGGAAGCCAGGCCCCGCGTGCCCAGCTGCCTCCCCGGAACTTGGGGAGCGTCTACCAGCACCCACGGTGGCCAGAAGGCCTTGCCTCGGAGACTGAAGGCGGGTGCTGGGCGTGGGCGTGCCCTGAAGGCGTGAGCGCGCAGGAAGGCACGCGTGCGCCCTGAGGCTGCGGCGTCGGGCAGTGACCCGTGCCCATCTGGCCCAGGCCCAGGCAGAACGTTTACATCAACGTCGCCAACGCTTCTGGCCCTGCTGGCTGCTCGTGTCCAGGAGGCGGGGCCCAGGCGCACCCGCACGGGCCCTCACGGGGGCGCCTGCCGGCTGAAGCAGGAGGGACGGGAACGTGGGAGCAGGTGAAGACACTGATGGCTGCCGCTGCGCTGCCCTGGGGCTCGTGGGAGCGCCGGCTGGCGCCGAGGTCCAGAGCTGTTCCCAGGGGGCCGTGCGGGCGGGCCGCCCGTGGCGGGAGGGCAGCCCGTGGTGACGCGGGCCCGGCGCCCACAGACGCGCTCGGCGCCTTGCTGCTTGTTACAAGGAGGTGTTCCAACCAGCACCGCTTTCCAGCCGTTGTTTTAAAAATACTTTTTTAGGGCAGTTTCGGGGTCCAAGCAACACTGAGGGGCAGAGGCAGGAACTCCTGGGCCCACCCCCATCCCCCAGCAGAGGGGCCAGTGGGGACCATGGGCAGAGGCCCACACGCTCTGGCTGCTGTTCACCCCCAAACGCTGCCACCCCCCCAGCCCCCCTAGAACTGGATCCACCCGGCGGGCAGCCTTCCCAGACCCCCTTCTCCCGCGGAGGACACAAGGGGCCCCCCCGTCTGTGTGAGGCCATCTTTGAAAGGAAAAGCGCTGACAAATTATGGAAGTTAACGTGGCCGCCCTTCTACCCCCACCACCCAGTGAGACCACAGGCCTGGGGCCGCCCGGTGGGAAGAGCCACCGCGGCTGGGGCCACCCACGGCTTCTAGGCCGGAGGGGCAGCTGCTCGAAGCCCCTGTGGTGGAGGACGCGGTGGCCACAGCAGGACATCTGCACCCGACAGTGACCACAACCCTGCAGCAGACGGGCTCCCGAGCGGCGTAGCTACTGCACGTGTGGGGGACATGCTCCCTGCCCCGCGCCCAACGACAGCGTCCAGAACAAGGCCAGTTCACTCAGCTGTCTGGTCCCCGCCAGGCGCTGACCAGTAGCTCTGTCCACCCAGCTCGTGGCGGCCTGCGCAGCACCGCGGGGGACGGGGCTCCGACGCCTGTGCTGCTCCGGTCCCTCCGCTGATGGGCGCAGGCCAGGCGCCAGCTGCTCACCACACCACGTCCTCTGTGCTCTCCGCCAGGCACTGGGCCAGGTGGCTGTCCACCTCCAGCGGGGTCAGCCTGCGGGGAGAGGAGAGCCAGTCACCCAGGAGAAGCATGTCGGCCACACCCATGCCGGCACCTCCTGCATCCCCTGCCCGCACCCCCGGCCATGACAGGATGGGAGGCCCGGAGAGGCCCCCCAATAGCCTCCAGGGCACCAGAGGGCAGGTCCCCCGGAGTTGGGTCCCCAGCACCCCTGCACAGTGGCCAGCACAGCCCACGCCGGGCACCTGCTCAGTTGCAAGCCCAAGGCTCCCCACTGTGCTGATGCCGGAGCCAGGGGGTCCCCCCCAGCCACAGGGCAGCACAGGGCCCCCGTGGCCTGGCCGCCAGCTCTCCCCAGGCCCACCTGCGAAGCAGGGGTGCCGCCGCTGCCACCAGACGCTGTGCTCCCTCTCACCCACCCAGCACCCCACACCAGGCCGAGCCCAGGGTGCCGGCGGGGGCGCAGCGGGTCTGACCCAGAGGGCGGGAGGCCTGGCAGGCACGGGCTGTGCGGGGGCCACTGTGCAGCCTCCCTGGGCCCTTCGCCTCCGGGGCGCGCAGAGGCTGGCGGGGCCGAGAGGAGAGCCGCTCGCCAGGCCCGCCCAGGCCCTGCCCCGCCAAGGTGGCTGTCTCGGCCGCTCCGCTGGCCACACCTTTCCAGGATCCTGCGGTGACGGAGCCCAAGCTGGACTGCGCTGCCCTCCCTGTGCGGGGCTCGCCACCCCAGCTGTGCCCCCCCCCGTTAAATCCCGCACCCACCGGGGAGGGTCCTGCCCGGCCACCGCTGCAGCCCGGGCGGGGCAGTCCCGAGGGGCCGGCGCGGTGGACCCTGAACCCACAGCCCTGCACCCCCAGGCCCCGCGGGGGTCACCGGGCTCCCCAACTCTCCCTGGGGAGATGCTGCTCTCAAGGGTCGAAGGCCCGCTCGGGTCCCTAAAACTGAGGCGGTTTCAAGGGGCTGGGCCTGGGGTCGGGGGCGGGGGGGGGGGGGGGGTGAAGGGGGCGGGGGTCCGGGGCGCTCACCCGGGGCGAAGTCGGCCTGGCACAGGGGGCAGCTCCGCAGCGCAGGTGCCGCCTCCCCGGCGCGCGGCTCCTCGGCGCTGGGCCCCCGCGCGGCCGGGCTCGGGGCGGGGTGGCGCGGGCCCCCCGGCGCCCCGGGCCGCGCGGAGCACCCGGTACGAGCGGCGGCGGCCCCGCGCGGGGGGGCGGGAGCGGCGTCCAGGAGAAGGTCTCGCCTCCCGCCGCGAAGGTCTCGGGGGTCGGGGCGCGCGGGGGTCGCGCCGGGGCTCCTGCGAGACGGGGCGTGGTTCGAGCAGCCGGGCGCCCCCGCCGCCCCCCAACCCGGCCCCGCCCCCCGCCCCGCCCCCCCGCCCCCCCGGCCCTCCTACCCACCCCCCCGGCCGGCGCGCACCTGCGCGGGGAAGGCGGGCAGCGGCGGCGCCTCTCCGTCGGGGCTCGGGTCCGCCCGCACCGCGCGCAGCAGCAGCGCCCACGGCCCCGCGCTCCCGCCGTCGGGCTCCGGCAGCGGGCGGGGGCGGCCGTCGGGGGCCCTGGGGCGGCGCGGGTCAGCGGGGCGGGCGGGCGGGGGGCCCGAGGGCCGCGGGGTGCGGAGCGGGAGGGCTGGGACCCCCGCCGCCTCGCCGCCCGCCCGCCCGCCTCACCCGTCCCGCGGGGGCGGCCTCCGCCGGCTCAGCCTCAGCCGCGGCCTCCGCGCCGCCTCCATGGCCGCCTCCACGGCCGCCAACATGGCCGCCTCCACGGCCGAGCCGGCGGAAGTGAGCGCGCGGCCCCGCCCCGCCCCTGTGCTCAGGCCCCGCCCCCGCACGCAGGCCCCGCCCCCGCCCCGCGCGCAGGCCCGCCCCTGTGCTCAGGGCCCCGCCCGCGCCCCGCCCCTGTGCTCAGGCCCCGCCCACGCAGCCCGCCCCTGTGCTCAGGCCCCGCCCCGCACGCACGCCCGCCCCTGTGCTCAGGCCCCGCCCCGCACGCAGGCCCGCCCCTGTGCTCAGGCCCCGCACGCAGGCCCGCCCCGCCCCCGCCCCGGCCCCGCCCCGGCCGGGCGGGACCCCCAGCCCACGTGGCCCTCAGCCCGGCCCCCCGCCGGGACCCCGCAGCCCAGGGGGCCCCACCCCCACCCCCACCTCGACCCCAGGCCCGACACCCCCCCGACGGGCCCCACGCTCACGCTGAGCGTCCCCGCGACGCCGCCCGCGCGCTCCAGCCCCGCCCGGCGCCAGCCGCGACCCTGGCCCTGCCGACCCCGAGCCCTCGGAGCCCGGCCGCCCCGCCGCGGCCCCCGGGAGCCCCGGTCCCCGGCCCCAGGCCAGGGCCCCCCCGGCCGCCAGGGCGGGGCGCCGACCGCGCTGTCCTGCGGGGACGCGGGCCGGCCCCCCGCCCCCGCCCGCCCAGGGCGGCCCGGCGCCTCTCGCGGGCTCGGCGTCCTCGGGAAACGCGGCGGCGCGGGCCGGCCGGGGCGCGGGGCCGGGGCGGCGGGAAGGGGCCGGGGCGGGGGCCGGGGCGGCGGGAAGGGGGCCGCCCGCCGCCCACGCCCCGCCGCCGCTGGGGGGCAGCAGAGGCCGCGGCTCGGCCCTGGCCTGGGCGGCCGCGTGGGGCGGCGGCTCCCCGGCTGCCGTCCACTCCGCGGCCGCGGCGTCCCGCCCCCAGCCCGCCCGTCCCGTGCGCCCCCTTCCCCCTCAGAAAGGGCGCTGCTGCCGGGCACGGTCTGGGGGTTCCGCAGCCGCGACAGCCCAGGGCCGGCCCACAGTCCCAGCCCGACCCGGCGCCCGGAGGAAGCAGGCAGGGCTGGTGCGGGCCGCCGGCCGCCCCACCCGCGCCCCGGCTCGCCTCGCTGAACGCAGGGCAGCCGCCGCCCCGCCGGCCGCCCCCTCGCCGGCCTCCCCACCGCACTGTGCCCCACCGAGCCCCGAGCTCAGGGGATCCCCGCCAGGGGCCGAGCAGCCGGTCCCGAGGGCTCCGCCCCAGGGCACCCTCCGTGCGGAGCGGAGTCGAGGGAAGACGCGGCTCTGGGGGCTTGGGGTGCTGGACGACGCCGGGGCTCCCCGGGAAAGGTCCCTGCGGATGCCCGAGTTCAGCTCCGGCCGGGCTCAGGGCCCTCTGCCTGCGGGGGGCACAGGTGCAGAGCAGAGGCCTCGTGGGGCAGCAGCCGGGAGGTGCGGCCGCCGAGGCACTGGGCCCGGCGGCGGACAGGAGCCCGCGGAGCCTCCGCGTGGCCGCTGCTCTGGCTTCCGGAGTAAGCCCAGGAATGTCCAGCCTCTGGCACCGCCGATCACCCAGCCCGGCCCGCCACCCCGCAGGCCCTGACCTCCCCTCCCCGCCCAGCACCTGCAGGCCTGTGGCACTGGGCCCTGGTGTCCGGGCACCAGCGCCCCACGTGAACCCTGAGGCCGACACTCGGGCTCCGGTCTCCTTGCCGGGAGTGGGCAGTCCAGACACGGCCTCCAGTGCCCGACCCTCGGGAGACAGAGGCCTTCGCCTTGCACAAGGGAGCCTCAGCCCACCGCACGGACGCCGGGGCCAGCTCTGGGGCAGCCGACAGCAGTGGAGGAGGCGTGGGTGGGGGTCAGCATGGCGAGGAGGGCCGCCTCCTCCCTCCTACCCCTGAGCATCAAGCTCCTGGGGTGATTGTATGCACCCCAAGTCGTGCTGCAGACCCAGCAGTGCCCAGAATCAGGGGTCGCAGCCTGAGACGGGGGCGGAGGGGAGCACCCAGCACTGGCGAGCGTGTGTCCAGCTCCACTCGCAGGCCAGCAGCAGGCTGCTTGGGAGGCCAGTCCAACTGTGCGGCCCTCAGCCTGGCCCCAGAGACTGCCAGCCCCCTTGCCTGGGCCTGAGCTGCCCCTGACCCACTGCCCTGAGACCCGTCCCCAGCAGCAACCCCAGGCAGAGGGCAGCCCTAGGGCCCAAGGGTCCAGTTGGGGGCTGCTGGCCACTGGGAGCCGTGAGAGCTGCCCAGTGGGCCCACGTCCTGCCTAGCTGGCTGGCAGCTCAAGCAAGCTGGACGCCGACAAGAGGCTGGCAGTCCACCTGGGAGGGCTCCTGCCCACTGGGCCTCTCTGGGCTCTCAGCCCTCGCCCGCGCCCTGCAGGCCCACCCTGGCCCCTGGCCCGCCCCTGGCTGGGTCCTGGAGGGCAGGCCTGGAGCCCGGGCCCCACACAGGGCCAGACCCCGGGGAAGCCGCTGTAACTTCAGCAAGGGAGCGGGACGGGGTTCACTCCCGGCTCCCCACCTGGACGAGAGCCCCCGGCTGCAGCCCCTCCTAGGGGTGAAGGTGCGGACCCCGGGCACAGCCGCAGACGGCAAAGCGGGGTGGAGGGAGGGGCCACGTTCCCCTGGGAGCCGCGGTGGGAACCAGGACCTGTGCAGAGCCGGGCGGGCGGGCGGGCGGCTGTCGCTCGGCGTGCCCGACCGCGGTCCCATGCAGCGGCCCCTCAGAGGCGGCAGACGGCCGGCGTGGGCACCAGTGGGCACTGGAGGGCAGGCCCGGGCAGGTGGGTGGGGGAGGGCCCCTGGGCGCGGCACATGTTGTGTCCACACGTGTGTCCCGCTGGTTTTGTGTGTAGCCTGTGATGTGTGCATCCGTGCGTGTCGTGTGCACGTGTGTTTTCATGCTCTGTGTGTGCATGTTTGGTGCTCGCGCATGTGTACTTGTGTGTGGTGTGGGTGTCTCTGTGCATCAGTGTGTGGGGGCATGTGTGCACACGTCAGTGTGTGTGTGCCCGTGTCCCCGTGTGTATGCGTACAGGTGTGTGCGCGCACATAGCCCTGCACTGGCGTGTTTGCATGTGCACACAGCTCATGTACACACATGCGCGGGCGGGTGGTGTTTGTGTGTTGCACACACATGTACATGTGTGGTGGTGTGCATGTGTCTGAATCTGTGCGTGTGCATCCGTGTGCACACGTGTCTTGTGTTTTCTGCCCCAGGCTTGGATCCCGCCTGGGCAGCTCCCCCAGGGAAACGGAGTCGGGGCTCAGGCAGGGCCCAGGCACGTCCTCAGCAGCTCCGGCTCTGGCCTGGGTCAGCCCTGCCAGCGCCAGGCCGCTCCTCCTTCGGGGCCTGGCCCAGCGTGCACGGAGACAGGCCGGGCCCCTCCAGGAGACCCTCCTCCTCCCAGCGCGCCTGCCCCCCACCCCGGCCACCCCGCGCTCGCGGCCAGCACACCTCACCCGGCCTTGCCCGGGCCCCTGAGGCCGCCACCAGTCCTCCAAGTTAAACATCGCCCTGGAGCTGTGCGTCCGCCGGGCCGCGCTGCCGGCGGAGGTCTGTGGACGGGGCTGGGCAGCGGCCAGCGCCAGCTCGAGGCTTGGGGGCCTCCTGCGGTGTCTGCAGGCCGGCGACTGAGCAGCCGCAGCCCCACCCTCTGCAGCCACCTGTTTGCTTGTCCCCGCCCGGTCACGGCCTGAGCCCGGGCAGTGGGCCGTGGGTCCCTGGGCAGGGTGGGGAGGGCCACTCGGGGGCCCCAGTGGGGCCTCCTCGACCATAGGGGCCTCCCCTCGCCACAGAGCCTGGCGCCCGGCAGAGCAGGCCGGGAAAAGGCTGGCTGAGCCACTGGGTTCCAGCGCAGCGGGCGCCCCGGAGGCTGCTGCCGAGCTCCTGTCTGCCTCCGGGGAGCCCCGAGGCCGTGAGGCCCACGAGCCCAGCCCCCCACCCCCCCCACCCCCGTGTCCGCGCGGCTGGCGGGGGCTCCGAGGCTCAGGGCAGGCCCCCGAGTCCTGTTCACACGGGCCTCGAGTCCCGGCCGGCGCCCGCCTCGCTTCCTCCCCGGCCGGCCCTCCCCGCGCAGACCCGGGGGGCGCAGCGGCCGCCGCTGGCCCTGGCCCAGCAGCCGCGCCCCGCCCCCTCGCGGGCGCCTGAGAAGCCCCTCAGCCCGCACCCCACCCTGCCGAGAACACCCCGCCCGAGCCGGCCGCGCGGACTCCTCTCCCCCGGCGGGAGACGACCCTCCGCCCTCCTCGCGGGCAGCGTCTGTGCGCGGGGACAAAGCCCCTCGGCCCCGGCCTGGCGGGCCCTGGACCGGCCCGGCAGGACGAGCCTGAGCCCAGCGGGCGCCCCGGGAGGGCTGGAGGAGCGGGCAGGCTCTCCGAGTGTCCGCGCGGAGAGGCCAGAGGACGGCGCTCAAAGTCCAGCCGCTCCTGAGGCCGGGGTGCCCCCACTCGCTGCGGGGGAGAGCCGCTCCCCGGACGTCACGCCCTCGCGCGAGGGCGCCCACGGCCCCTCCGTCCCGGGGCCGCGCCCTCCCGCCGCAGCCCTCCGTGGGCCGTGGCCTCCCGCCCGCCGCCGCCGCCGAGCCCGCCGAGCAGGTGCGCCGTGAGAGCCGTGGACGCCCGGCAGCCGCCCGGCCTCCCCTGCACCTGGGCGGGGAGCCCCGAGCCCGCGCCCCCTCTGCGCGGGGCTCCAGAGACAGCCGCCCACCTGCCCGCCCGTGCCCGGGCCTGCGCCTGCCCGAGTCGGCAGGCGAGTCCGGACTTCGTACCGGGGAGGAATGTGGGCCTGGAGCCTCCGTGCGCGCGCGGAGCCGGCAGCCGGGGGCGTCGCGCCTGTCTGCCCTCCAGAGGCGGCGGGCGGTTGTGGCCCTGACCCCGAGCGGGCCCAGCACCCCCCTTCTGCCGGCCCCTCCGGGGGCTGGACCCCCCACCACCTCCCGCTGGGGCTGCGGTCAGCTCCCCGCAGGTGGGGGGCAGGGCGGGCCTCGGGGTGATGAGGGGGTGCAGGCTCTGTGCCGGGACCCA